TCCCCCCCCCCCCCCCCCCCCCCGGTCAGTTCAACTAAACACAGAAAAATAAGCTTATAAGGCAAAAAACATAATTCTTAATATGATACGAAAACCGAATTCAATAATTGTTTTATTATTCAATCAAAATAATTCCTAGTTTAAAAACATAACTAAAACATGCTTACCTCTATCGATGTTAAGTTCATCTTCGATAGTGCACGTGTAGGGTTGTTCAGCTCTGCAAATGTTCTCCAAATAGCAGATGTCGCCCTTCGAGCTGTCTTCTTGCTGTTCTTGCCATGCTTTTAGCTATTATTTCGCCTAGTTCTTACTCTTGAAACGAGTGAAATGGCCGCCATTTTTGTTCACAACCAAAACAACTCAACGTCGTCCCCAGGTCTTCTCGGTTAACGGTGCATTAACCTGCAAGGAAGCTGCACTTTTGACGTCATAGGTTCATTAATCGCAAAATTCTTCCAAATTTGGTCATCAGTAGCTGATTATGGTGAATTATGCGTCTGCTTTTGGCCAATCAGAATCGGGGAAATATTTTGAATGAGTAATAAGTTAACTACAACGGTCCAAAGAAGTTGAATAGGCTCTTTGTATTTTTCCATTTTTTTTTTTGCTGTTTGAATGACTTGCTAGATCTTTCCATGCCCCTCCTTTTTAGGAATATTTGGAAACAAGACGATGGCTTCTACTATCCCATTTTATGACGTTGCTGTGGTGGGTGCAGGCGCTTATGGTACTGCTGTACTGGGTCAGATCTCTTTACGCAAGATACTCGACGACGGGCAACCTAATTTTCGCATTCTTGTAGTGGAACGCGGTCAAGATCTTGGACCCGGGATGCCGTACTCAAGATACATGACCATCCCCGAACATATTGTGAATATCGCGGGAGGCTGTACCCAAATCACAGCTACTTATATTCCATATTCCGAAAGGTCTGACTTTATGGTTTGGCTTCGCTCACTCACACCAGAATATAGGGCTTCTTTGGGGATCGAGGAAGAAGAAAACCCAGCCTGGCTGTACAGACCTTTTCCACGTTTTGTGGTAGGTCTCTACTTAAGCAACCGTTTCAATCAATTTGTGAAAGCGCTCAGACGAAAGGGATTCACAGTAGATGTTCGCAAATTGACAACGGTGACCTCAGTGACACAGACGCGCAAGTTTGACGAGAATTGCTACGAACTTGACCTCAACGGAAAAAGTAACGTTTTCGTGAAAACTTTGTTCATTGCAACAGGACACTGGAGCCACGACAGGTTCCCAGAATTTCGATGCTGGATTCCATCACCCTTTCCACCGCATGTCATCCAGAATCGAACTAAGCTCGGCGGTAACATTGGAATTCTTGGTTGCTCCTTATCGGCGATTGACGCCGCGCTTACTCTCAGTAAGAAAAATGGATCCTTCCATTGGACGAATGAAAATGGTCAGGATAGCCTAGTATTTCGACCTTTCAAAGGAGCTGAAGACTTTAAGGTGACTATGTATGGCCGCAAGGCGATGCTACCTCAGGTAATGGGAGTAACCGTGAACAAGATTTTTGCGTACAAATACTTAACTCCCGCACTTTTCATTCCGATCATCGAGGCTTCTGATGGGTTTCTGCCACTTGATGATTTCTGGTACCTTCTTAAGAGAGAAATATACGATGAAGTTCCCCATCTTCGCCCATACCTACCAGACGACTGGGAGAGTGTGTCGCTCGAAGAAGCCGTTTTGAAAGTGAGAACATTTCTTCAGGCAAATGACCCTATTGAGAGATTAAGTAAAGAGTTAGAGGCAGCCAAAGAAAGTTTGAGGAGTGGTGCACCTCTCCTTTTGCAGAATGTGTTTTATCAGTCTTACGCAATATTCGACGAGGCTCTAAATTACTTCTCAGCCGAAGATCGTATCAGGTTCGAAGCCATTCAAACTGAACTGCATTTGCTTATCGGCCCTTTTCCAATTCAAAATGCAGAAAAGATCCTTGCTCTTATGACAGGGGGCTTCCTCGACATCAGAAGAATTGGAACTAATTACTACATTGAGGAAACATCCAGCAAAAATGGCATCAAACTGTCATGGCGAACAGACGCAGATGGCCCTCTGGAGGCCATACACGATGTCATGATCGATGCTACCGGACAAAAAGGCGCTTTCGAAGAAGACCAGTCCTCTTTGACAAAATCACTCAGAAAAAACAACCTCCTTAAAGAAGTTCTCGTCCCTTTTCGGGATTCCAGAGAATCCCATAATTATCAGCATCACCCCAACGTGGTTAAAAGAAAAAGGGTTTGTTATTATCGCGCACCTGGTGCTCTAATCGATATAAATAATTTTTCCCTTGTGTGTGCTTCTGAAAAGCCTTGCACTCCCATTTATTACATGGGGCCATTTAGCAAGGGGCAAATAGCATTTCCACACGACATGAGTGTGGTTACCACGGCAGCAGAACGTTCAGTTTCAGATCTGGTCAAGAGAGGTTTGCTACAAGAAGAACCTGCCAGCTACACAGTGGAACAAGATCCAATGCCAATGTATGGGTGGTTTTCCAATGCTAAAGGTGACCTTGCTGGTGAGATGGGAAAAATGTCGAAGGATATCACGTCAAAGCGAAAAGAGCTTTGGAATTAAAACCTAAATTTTGGGTTTATTCAGCAAACAGAAACAAAACATTTCAGCACAGATAACCTTGAGTGTCAACCTGAGTGAAGCTGATATTTACCTGCTATAAGACTGAAAAA